GGTTGCTGTGCTTGGAGATTAGATGTTAATAGGATCAAACATTAATGAGGTGTGACCTAAAATGAGCTACCAGATTCCAGGACCAGCTGAAAATGGCAGCAAATGTAACAGGAACAGGATGGTTTAATTAGGCACTGTCATGTCTGGCGTGCAACCATCTAATTCCTCCACTGTGGAGACAGTAAAAATTGGTCTTTATAAACTGATGATTATCCTAGTCTACAATTTATCCTGAGATGCTTGCTACAAATTTCTACACAACTGAACATTGAATAAACCCGTAACCTAACCAAAACAAAACAGAAACCTTGCTGTTCTAAAAGAAATGTGGTTTCAAGTGTCCTGATTTGATTAATGATCAAGTTTAGGAAGTAGCCTTCTAATACAACTAAAAGCTATCTGAAGTGCACTTACAAATGTGTTGCCCTGAATGAGTTTGTTATAGAACTATATAATCTTATGACAGACAAGGAGGCTATTTAGTCCATAATGCCTGCCCTGGCTATCCAGTTATTTTGCATTCATCGGCACTTTCTCCACAGCCCTGCAAATTTTTCCTTTTTAAATATTAATCCAATTTGGTTTGGAAAGTTACTTGTGAACCAGCTTCTACCATCCAGGCAGGCAGTGCATTCCAGGTAGTACCAACATCCAGACCAGCAATCATACTGATGTGCCTCCCTGATTCTTCTGTCAGTTACCCTAAATTGGTTTTGTAACCAAAACACTAGCATTGGAGATGGTTTGTCCACATTTTTCTTGATTATTTTCAGAATCAAAACTTGTTACCGCACAGAAGGAGGTTATTTGACCAATTGTTCCTGCACTGGCAAGCTCCTACTGAATTTCTTTACTCAGAATCACTCACTAGCATCATCACTCAGTATAAAGCAATAACTGGTGAAATATTTGGGAGAGAAATATACCATTCCCTCTTTAATTTTAAGTTGACTTTAGGATGGTGATTTAGATTTGTCACTTGACTGGCATGCAAGGCTGTATGGTTTCTGAGTCTGATTGTACATGAGATCTGAACAAAAACAAAACGTATTTGTCAGCAGTGATGACATATTTTGTGAAGTCCTTAGGTTAATGACTGTTTCTCATAAAAACACCAGCAAGGATGGAATTAGAAATGGCCATTGACCCTTCAACTTCCACAGACAATATGCATTTATGAATTCTATCCTATTGGTTTAATATCATGAGAAAATTAATGAGAAGATATGGAACTGCAGGAAGGTAAGGGAAATGGTCAGTGCATCTAAAAAAGAAGTGAATTAATATAAAGTGGCATGTTGCCATGAAAGAATAATTATTACATGTAATTACATGTTAGCACACTGCAAACATGCTGTTTGGCCAACTGGTCTATGTGCCAGATCAACCTATTTATGGCTCTTAAGGGTCTTTCTGAACTTTCTGAATAGTGTGAAGCTGATGAAGTGGATCTTGATAGGCAAACAGCTTTTCCATATTCCAGGCATTTTGATATTTTGCGGAGGAGACATTGGTGCATTCATTCTCATTCCCCTCATTTCTACCTGACCAGCAGGCCTTACATTATACAGTGACTGCAGACTTTATATACCCATCAGTGACTGGCCAAGTGCATCTCTTCACTCCAAGAAACTTTACTTTCTCCTGAAACTGGTTCACAATGCACAAAATTCAATAAGAGAAAACAAGAATGAGGGATGATCAGAATAGAAGTTGATGCATAACTTGAATGGTTTAATCAAATCCATCATACGCACTACCTAGTCATAACAGGGTAGAATGTACTGTTGTGCATCTTTATTAGTGATCTTTTGTTCTGCCTATCAACAAAGGTTTTTGGGCTCAGTTATAAATGAAAAATAAAACAGCTGTGCCACATGTTGTTAATGAACAAGAATTAAACAATATTTACAAACAAAAGCTTGCCTGATACAATTATATATATATATAAATAAATATATATAAAGACATTTTGCTGTGTGCACAGGAATTATTTCTCAACTTTGAGAATATTGTAAGCATTCTCATTTTGCCTGTAATTGGAATTATCACAATGCAGGCTAACCTTCTGCAAAAATAAGACTATGAGCTTCAGATACAATTCCAATCTTCAATTGAGAAATTTAAATGACAGAAGAATAATTAGGGAACTAAATGGGAACATGATGAAAATCAAATGATTTCGCATTTGCATCATTGAGCACATCACCTGAGTATTTGCCCCACCTTTTTTTTTAATCATTGGGCACTTCTTTATGCCAAGTTCAGTTTATATAGATATAGTGTTATTTTATTGGATTTATTCATATAAGCACAGCATAATCAGTGAAAGCAACAGTAATAACACCATAACAAACAGAATTACTGCTGTTTCTTCAGCCATATCATTCTGCCTTAATTTGAATGGGCATTAAGTGCCAGCCAGGACAAGGGGCAGGTCCTCATTGTATAAACAGTGAATTACTTAGGGTTACCACCTTTATCCCAAATCAAATCTAAATGTGACAGGACAAAGGACAGGATCATGGTCAAGACTTCTGACAGATACTTTGCCGTAGAAGAAATTTCATCAATAATTTTAATGATTCAGTAAGGCTAATTTTGACTGTGTTGTAAATTAGCGTCCCGTTTTATGCCTCTCCCAAGATTTATTTCCATTGAAGTTAGGAAGAGATGTAAATGGTCTTTCAACTCACTATCACCTGTTCAGCACTGTTGCACAAAAATACTATCCCTAATGAATCTTGCCTCCGTAATCACCAGACACCATCGTAAAAAATTGAACTTCTGTTGACTGTCCTTTAGGAGTTTCTAGATAATTATCTGAAAGCAGACTTTAGATAGCAATCCCAATCTTAGTCTAAAATGGGAGTTAATACTAGATTAGTGTATTGATTTAACCTAATCTGAAAACTCAGCATTAAAACCAGCATGTTTCCTGGGCAAGTTTGCATGACACAGACTTGATCTCAGGTGTAGTGTGAATGTTTGCAAAACCTCTTCCTTGCATTTTGTTCAAATTCAAGTTTAAAAATGGGTTGCTCCAGATGTGACCAGAAAGTGATGAAAGTAGTGTGTCACAATCATGTGGCTATGTTGATAATATTTTGTCCTGTCAAAAGAGCTCAAGTAATTCTCTGGTAAAATGTCCAACGCTTTCAATGTGACACTTCTTACATACTGAAAATTCTATATGAACTTGTTGACCTTAAACTCCCACATTTTCCAAATATTTTCGTCAAAGACATTGTTGCTCAGAGGATCCTCACTGTTACAAACCCATGAACAGGAGTGATGGTCAGATTCCATCTGGGGACAGGTTGCATCAAATTAAATTATATTCCCTGGACTATTACAAGTTGAGGGGTAGAATAGAGATGGAGAAACAATTAACTCCTGAATAATCAAGAACAAAAGGAGTAATGCCAATATTAAAACTAGGCCATTTAGAAGCAAAATCAAGGACCAATTTCTTACACTAAAGGTAGTGCACATCTGGAATTCTCTCCAAAGACTGAATGCTAGGAAAATTGAAGCTTTCAAGATTGAGAGGGGTAAATTTTTATTAGCTAATGGTATCTGGAATACATGGACCAAAGGTAGAACAGTAGAGTTGAGGTGTAGATAAATGACAATCTACTCGAATGAACAACAGCCTTGAAAGGCTGAATGGTCTACTCCAGCTCCTGATGTGCCTATATGAAAATTGTTATTAATGAGACTACGTTGAGGTGATGGGGTAAACCATTATCAGGTGCCAACTTTATAAACTGAGAGAGCAGGGTGTGAGGTTGATTGTTCATCTTTTTTAAAGAGGAGGAAATTGTGGAAGAAGATTCCAGTAGTCGTGTGGTAGACTAGATTCCTTGGATTTCCAAGAAATGTGGATTTCTGAAGAATAAGGCGACAATGATATATGGAAGGCATGAGTCAAATAATCTGGAAAACTACGTGCCATCTTAGAGCACCTAGAACATGTTGATTGCCCATGGGAGGTCAGAGAGATTATTATCAGAGTAAGCCTCGATTAGCTACAGGTCTCTAATTTGTTACTTATTCTAGGAAGTGGGGAAAGAGATTGTGGATGCACAGGCTTGAAATCAGCCAGAAAAGTGATAAGCTAAATAAAGATTCTGAGGGTCTTTTCTTACCCATAGCAACATCAATTTAAAACAAAACTTTCTTTCAGGCTGGGTGCATACCACTCAGCTCTCTCGTTTTAATGGGATATCCTGTGCTATGGAGAAACAAATGGAAAGAGTTCCAAATTTGCCTCATTTTCCGAATCTGTTTTAAAAGATCTTCCAGCTTTAACTTTCAAGCCAATTTCTCAGTGCAGTATAAGCTGAAAGTACAGAGATTAATGACACTGTCCAGAATCTACATCAAATAAAGTTGCGCAAATCTTCTTTAATATATTCACTAAGACTGTTTTCAAGGTTGTTTTGAACAATTCACTGATGGAAAACAAGGTGTTAATGAATCAACACTTTAGAATCAATGAGGTGTTTTATCTATGTTTTACGTTCATCTAAGAAAAGGACGGTCCTTCCCGGTGAAGTAGCAAAAGAATTTAATTGTTACTTCGATTTGAACAAAAGGAAGGACTCAGAATTTTGTAAATATGCACGGTGGCAGTAAAAATCATTATAGCAGTAACAATATCTACCCTGACGTGCTAACGTACCATATCGGGCTCCACATACTGCAGACTAAACTGTGTCACCATCTCATGCATTTACGCCAAAGAACAGTAATTGAGAGACTTGTTGAATGCCGATCTATTTTAGTGTCTTGCAGCATGCGAAAATTATTATATTTAAAATAGTATCCGAAAAGCTGAGTTTCAAAAAGATTACAACAGAGCTATTAAATAAGTAGCTTTTCATTTTGAATTGATTAGTACAAAAAAATGTACTATATGAAAGTTCATCTCCAGAGATAATCTGAATGCTGCATATATTTTAAACGTGTCATTTATTTGATTAGTAAACGCACAGTATTGAAAGAAGTAAATGAATTTTTAAGTTGAACAGCTTTGAAATGAAACTGAAGAAATGATCTTTGGGCTAACCTACCGTGTGATAATGATTTTGCTTCCGTGACTATCAAAAGGCAACCCTGGTTAATGTTCAGTGTTAATTAAAATCAGCATATCTGATATAAATCCAATCACTGTACAAGGATCAACCGCACTTTCCTGAAGATGAGGGTATAGTTCAAAACATCTCTTTACAGACAGCGACAGTTTATGTTACTCTCTTACACACAAGGCAAGTTGTGAGACTCAAGGGGTGCATATTCGAGTTGCAACTAAGCACTTTGTCATAGTGTTGATTACTGTCAAGAATGTTACAGAGATTCTTTTTAAAAGATGGCATTTTTCTCTGGCTCAAGGGTTGTAAACGTACTGTAGGTCTTCCTGCCTTGTACTGCAAAGATCAGTTGCATAATACAGTTCCCATTTGTAGTGTGCAATCTCAGTGCTCAAAAACTAGAGATGGAGTAGCATTCTTGCTAAACACCTTGGCACCTTGTGCTGTGTTTTGTAAGCTTGATTTGTTATAAGCACTTTCAACCACGATTATACAATTGACTCTCTAACGTCTTTTGTTTCGGGAATCCAGTCTACTGGTACAGCTGCAGTGGCTGAAGCTTCTAGAGGGGTAACTGCAGCTTCTAGAGGGGTTATGGCTGCTTCCAGAGGGGTAACTGCCATTTTCAGGTGAGTCGCTGCTGCATCTGTTGCTGGTGCTTCTAGAGGAGTTGCTGCTGTGTCTATAGGAATTCCTTCTGTAGGCGTCACTGCTTCTTCTGTAGAAGTTGTTGCTCCTTCAGTAGGAGTCGTTGCTTCTTCTGTGGAAGTCGCCCCTTCTGTAGGGGTTGCTAATACTTCTATAGGAGTTGTTGCTTCTTCCAGAGCTAACGGTGGCGGACCTTCTGTACCAGGCTGGAATATACCATAGTTTTGACTCAGTCGAGCAGCGAGTAGTCCTTCTTTTTCTGGAGCCTGTTCATCAGGCAGAATTGCATCAGTTGCACTACAGCGGTACAAATAGGATGCATGTTTGACAGAGCGTTTCAGCAGGTGACGCCGGAAAGCTCGCTGAATTTTGATTGCACAAACCTCCTCTTGTTTCCGCCGAAGGGTGGTGGTTATGGGCTCGTACGAGACTTTGGAAGGATTGGCAGCCATGAACTTCTCCTCCATAGACTCCTTCAGAGTGTCCATCTCTCCAGATTCACCCAGCACCTCCTTGGTCAATGCAAAGAGGATATCCAGACAGTGGATTTTGTCACCTGACACCATCGGTAGGTCCATGGTAATCAACTTGATTTTATTCGGTTTGGGAATTCGCAATGGCTCTTGCAGCGTGTCGACAAAGTCCGACATCCTGGCATACTCGATAAATTGCGTGGCCTCCACGTCAAACTTTTCCCAGACTTCATAGAACATTTCAAAGTCGTCTTCGCAAAGTGGTTCGGCACTCTCCTCAGTGGCCACATTGAAGTTCTCCAAGATGATGGCAATGTACATGTTCACCACAATCAGGAAGGAAATGATGATGTAGGAGACAAAAAAGACGACCCCAACTGGTGGATTTCCACAATTCCCTTTTATGTCGGTCCCCGGATTAGCCACGTGGGGATCGCAATCAGGGGGTCCGCTGTTCATAATGGGTAAGAGCAGACCATCCCACCCAGCTGAGGTGGTGATCTGAAACAGGCAGATCATGCTGTTGCCAAAAGTTTCAAAATTGAATAGGTCATCAATGCCTGCTTCCTTTTTCACATAGGCAAAATTGGACATTCCAAAAATGGAATAGATGAACATCACCAGAAAGAGCAAAAGGCCAATGTTGAACAAGGCAGGAAGTGACATCATCAAGGCAAATAGGAGAGTTCGAATTCCTTTAGCTCCTCTGATAAGTCGTAGGACACGACCAATCCTGGCCAATCTAATAACTCTGAACAGGGTAGGCGATACAAAGTACTTCTCTATTATATCTGCCAACATAATACCTGAAAAAAAAATCAAAAGGTGTGATATGAATAATTGTTTCAATCTACAAAGAATATCTACAAATGATGGATGTCTGAACCAAAAATGGAAAGTGCAGTGAGTTGGTCAACATGAAGGAGAAAAATATATTGATTCCTCAGCTCCCACTGATACATTAGATCACTTGTTTTATGGTGATAGCCAATTCTATGCATGTTGAATATTTTCAGTTTCTAATTTTTATTTCTAAATCTGTCTCCCAAAATAAATGTTTTAAGATTGATGTTGATACTGTGTAAATTGGGTGGCAAAGAGTTGGCATCCTACATTATATCAGTGCCCACTTTTAGGCAGACCATTGCTTCTAGGTAGACTGTACAATATAAAAAGCAGATAATGTTTATACTGCGTCCTGAAAATGTGTCTACCCTGGAAACATTAACTTTTGTCCAATTTCTTAAATAAAGCAAATAGCTGTGGATGTTGGAGATCTGAAACAAACAAAACCAGAAATTGCTGGAGAAATTCAGCAGGTGTGACAGCATCTCTGGAGAGAAAACAGGGTTAACGTTTCGAGTCCAATTCTGAATTGGGTCACTGGACTTGAAACGTGAACTCTGTTTTTCTCTTCACAGACGCTGCCAGGTCTGTTGAGTTTCTCCGGCAATTTCTGTCTTTGTCCTAATTCTACTCAGGTACTGACAGATCTGTTTTCATCCAGGATATTCTCTCTTTGTATGCGTAAAGATTCAAAACACTCTTTCCCAGTTTGATGACTGAACTGGACAGCATGAGGTGAAAACAAGGATTATTTCACTTCAGGGAATCTCTCTATGAGATAGCACTGATATATAGCTGGAAAGAATACTTGAGGTAGACAATTGCAGCCATTGGAATTGTCATATCTATGATTCGTGTTAACTACAGGTGGCAGATTTTGTCTGGTATTTAACTTGGCTGGTTGCTGACCAAGAGTCTTGGACAGTCAGTTTTATATGTCCACATGGAAAAACCAACAAAAAAAGTACTTGGAAATGAGCATATTGGTCATCCTGGTCATCCAATTAAGTAGTATACAAGATGAGTCAGGCCAATAGTCTTTTTCACTCATGGAACATGGGCATTGCTCTCTGGCCAGCATTTAGTGCCCAACCTTAGTTGCCTTTGAGAAGGTGGTGGTGAGCTGTCTCTTGAACCACTGCAGTCTATGTGCTGTAGATAGTATGCCTCATTTACCAATTTTACTGGACTTCCCTTCTGCATAGGAGATACACGATTGAGGTGATGAGAAATGAGATACTTGCTCAGGACTGTCATACCTGTCATTAACAAATAAAAAAAATGTCCATTCTCCTTCAAAAGCAGGTGCATCTCAGAAGCAGAGAGAAAACACAAGGAGAGAAGTCTAGAACCAGTAACTCATCCAAAAAAAAAGACTGTTTGCAGCAGAACTTTCAGCTGCAGATTGGCCTCAGCACTCATCTACATTCTCAGCAGACAGCCTGAATGAGGAAAATGGTCCTTTTTACTTCAAACAGCGAATGAGAAGGCATGAAAAGATATTGGTACATAGACCAAGTCTATTTCTGGACAAATTGATATCATTTCATTTCACTCATGCATCAAAAAAAGGGCTTCTTCTTGGACTCTCGTTTGTCCCAGTATCATGGATATACCAAAGAAAATGGTAATTTATTATTTTATTTATTATGAATACGAGGCACAGTTTAAGAGCAGGGAGGTCATTCTGAAACTGTATAAAATGCTCGATAGGCCACAGCTAGAGTATTGCATGCTGGTCTGGAATCCACATTATCGGAGGGATGTGTTAGCACTGGAGAGAGATTTATCAGAATGTTGCCTAGGCTGGAGAGTTTTACTTATGAACAGAGACTGGATTGACTGGAGTTTTTCTTGTTAGAACACAAAGGATTGAATGGAGTCTTGATTGAGTTGTATGAAATTATGAAGGACACAGACAGAGTAGGCAGGACGAAAATTTTCCCCTTGGTAGAACGATCAATGACCAGAAAGCCTAGATTTAAGGTAAAGGCATGAGATTTGGAGGGGATGTGAGGAAAACTATTTTAACCAATTGGTGGTAGAAACCCATTGTGTGAAAGGGTGGTAGATGCAGATGTACGCTTGTGATGGCAAGGCATACAGGGTATGGACCAAGTGCTGGAAAACTGGATTAACATAGGCAGGTGGTTGTTTTTGACTGGTGCAGATTTGATCAGCCATTACAAGGTCAGAAGCGGGGATATTTGCCAATGATTGCACAAGGTTCAGATGATTTGCGATACTGAAGCGGTCCATTCAAATGCAACAAGACCTGACTTGGAAACATATCGCTGTTCCTTCACTGTCGCTGGGTCAAAATCCTGGAATTCCCTCCCTAAGGGCATTGTGGGCCAACCTATAGCAGGAGGACTGCAGCAGTTAAAAAAGGCAGCTGACCACCACCTCCTCAAGGGCAACTATAGTCAGGTAATAAATGCTGGCCAACCAGCAGCATCCATGTTCCACAACTGAATTTAAAATAACCTCTCTGACTCTAAGCCTCTTAACTAACTTAATAGAAACATTAAAGAGGAGATAAAGGTTCAGTAAATGCTTTAAAGTGAATGGTACAAATGATATTTTATAAGCCTGGATGTCTAAATTATATGGGTAAATAAATGAATGAGACCTATACTGACATTTTGGAAAATGCAGGAATGTTTAAAGACGTTGATTTGGTGAAGCAATGTGAATACAAGTGGCTGCAAACTGACAGCTACTTCTGGAGCAATGAAAAACCCAAAAAAATTGCAGCGACCTTAGGTGGATGCAAATCATGCAAAAGATTCAGTATAGTGATGATTATAGATGAGCAATCATATTTCATGACTATGTAGACCTCCAATATGGCATGGGACCAGCACACCATGGCAAATACTGGTGACATGATAAATCTTCAGAGCTAGGAATGGTCCCAGAATTTGATATATTCCTCAGAATCATCTAGGAAATCAAGTTATAAGAGGTATTGGAGTATATAGTGAGTCAGATTCTCATATTTCATCTGGAGTCTACCTCAACCTGAGTCAAAAGTCTTCTGTTTGTTACCCATAAAAAAAAACGCAACAAAATTGAGTTTAGACAGTTTCAAATTAATTCTTGGTGCCATGTATCCAGAATTTAAATTATTTTAATTTGCAATTGCACTTGAAAAGGCAAAAGATACCTGACATGAGAAATGGGAATATGTCATATTGATGGATTTGATGTTACTCTTTAGAGTTGGAGCTAAGGTAGGTGGCTGAAGAAGAGCATTACTTCGCAAGTACTTATGCAGAACCCTAACCCCACACCCTAATCACTGGACTAGAAATTTAATTTCTACACCACTTGACATTACATAAATGAGGATAAAGCTCAAAAACACAAGTTGCCTAAATAAATGGATTTCAACTTCTAACTTACCCACAATTGAAAGAATCACCACAACAAAGTCAAAAATGTTCCAGCCAATGGTGAAGTAATAGTATCTTAAAGCAACGATCTTGAGCACACATTCACTTGTAAATACAACAATAAACACCAAGTTGATCCAGTAAAGAATATTGTTTTTTTCTTCACTTTGGTCGTCTGTTTCTACCATCATTGTTACCATGTTCAGGCAGATGAGAATCATGATGAAGATATCAAAGGCTTGCTTGCTGACAAAATCAAAGAATACTCCTTGAACTTTATTCTGGGGCAGGGAAGGAAAAGTGAAGAAATGAGCTGTCAATGTCTAAATACTTGATATTAATTATATTCATCATATTATGTCTGACCAACATGTATTACTGGCAGCAGAGGATACAAGTTAAAAGATAGCTTGGAGGATTCTGCAGAATTTATCTCGGAGGCTCTTTAACAGGTATAAAACCAATCAAAGTTTAATATCTATGCTATCAGAATGGAACTGTTGACCCATAAAAACGCTTGAAGCATTTCAACTGATCCTTTGTACTGTTCTCTCCTGGTTTCTCACAAGCTGTAAATATGATCTTTGCTACGCATCTTGTGCTTCCTTTTCAATATGTTGAAGTCAAACCCATTGCACCCTCTTACTTTTACTCATTGAGTGAAATTGTAACATGGTTGAGCACATGGGTTTGGGTGCAGACACTGCCAATTTCTTCTACTGTTCTTCCAACTGGAATCACCATTAAACTGCAATATTGCTAGACCCTCTCATTCTTTTAAATACTGGAATTGAAATTGACTCATGGGTCATCATCATATCTATTGACATGAATTGACTGGGAAGCTCAGAAGTTATTCGGTGATGCCAAAAAGTTAAAAACCCACTGACATTGTGCTCAGAGATAGTAGGAACTGCAGATGCTGGAGACTCTGAGATAACAAGGTGTAGAGCTGGATGAACACAGCAGGCCAAGCAGCATCGGAGGAGCAGGAAGGCTGACGTTTCGGGCCTAGACCCTTCTTCACCGAAACGTCAGCCTTCCTGCTCCTCTGATGCTGCTTGGCCTGCTGTGTTCAGCCAGCTCTACACCTTGTTATCTGACATTGTGCTCACTCTGGGTTTCTCACATTCTATCAAACCACATCCCAACTCCAAAGAACTTTGAAATTGTTCAGCTGTATCTTCTTACAACAACAAGAAGAATTTGCATTTGGATAGCACCTTTATTGCTTTGAACCATCTCAAATAATATTTAAAGATATTAAAAACCAATGAATCACTTCTGGTCTTGGCTCAAACAATTTTCAATGTCAGTGGGGTGCTATACTATTGACTTAATTTTCTTAATTTAAGACATCACAAGAATTAGCATTTGTAAATAATCAATTATATTTGCAGCAGAATGTGGGTGTAGTATATATAGAAAATCACAGAAACTCATACGTTGACTGGCAGAATTCCAGCAGTGTGACATGACACTGTTTAATACTTAGAATTTTTCAAAATAAATCAATTTCATTGAATTAAAATCAAAGTTCCATAAAATTGGCAGAGATGATTATGTCAATCATAATAAGGTCATTAGTACTCTCAGATGAGCTGCTTGCAGGATTTTTCTACATGACACTGCCTGTCTCTCACTCAGCCTGTTGCTGGCAATGTAGCTCAAGTTCAGAACTGACGTGAGTGGGACACTCCAGTCTCATTCCCCACTTGTTACACTCAAACTTGCACTTTCTGTGGCATGACCCCAGTTGGCTGCCTACATAAATGTTGGCATGGTTGAGAAACTACACTCCCAATAGTTTTCAGAAGCAATACTGGAGAAGCAGTTTGAATGGGAAATACACCTCGTAGGCCCTCCATTCCTTCCACGGTTTGTTAAAATCTGGTGGTTGATATATGTGGTACAATCGGCACACTTACATTTGGTCTTGGGATGGGTTTTTGTGGTTTCTTTGAGCCAAGCTTCTTCATAGCATTGTAGTATTTTTTCTGCTCTTCTGTCATAAAGATATCTTTTCCTCCTAAGTAAATATGAGAATTCTTACAATTATTTAAGGAAATGTCATCATGATCTAGTAAATTCAATGAAAGACAGAGGGTGTATTCTGAGAATATGAGAAATAATATCAGGCCATTTTGCTTCTTGAATCTTCACCCCCATTCAAGAAGATTGTGGCTGATCTGATTGTAGCTTTAACTCTGTCTTTACAGATCAAAACTCCCTGGTTGATCAAAAATCCTCCTTATTCAACCTCGAATAGATTCGGTCACTCAGCCTTAACAGTTCTCTCGAGCATAAGAATTCCAAAGGCTCACAAACTCCTGAGAGAAGAAATTCCTCCTCATCTTCATCTTTTATAGATTGTCCTCCACTTCTTGATTGCCCACAAGGTGAAGCATGTAGCCTATCAATCTCCTTCAGAATCTTATGTATTTTAGTACAATCACTGCTTAATCCTCTAAACCTTAATAAGTGTAGCCCCAAACTGCTCAACCTCTCCCTTTAAGATGAGCCCTTCATTCCAGTAATCAACTTCGTGAACTTTTTCTGAGCTGCCTCCAAAGCAAGAATGTCCATACTTAAGTAAGGAGACCAAAATAGTACACAATACACTAGGTGCAGTTTTGCCAAGGCTTGTAATTTGTAGCCAGATTCACCAATTTTTATACACAGTTCTCCTTGCAATAAAGGCTAACATTTTATTTGATTTTCTTACTAATTACTTCCATGACCCGCTTGTTGATCTTTTGTCATTCATTTGTGGATATGGATAAGTTAGATGAACGGGTCAAGTTTTGGCAGATGGAGTTTAAAAGTGAGAGGTTATCCATCTTAGTCAGAAGAATAACAAGGCAACTTACTATCTAAATGCAAAGAAACTTTAAAATCCTTCAGTGCAGAGGGATCTGGGTGTTCTTGTGCATGAATTGAAGAAAGCTAATATACAGGTACAGCAAGTAACAAGGAAGGCAAATAGAATTTTGGCATTTATTGCTAAAGGCATACAGTATAAAAGTAGAGAAATGTCGTTGCAACGTTACGAGGCATTGGTGAGCCTGCATCTGGAGTACTGTGTACAATTTTGGTACCCTTACTGAGGAAGGATTTAATTGCATTGTTGGCTGTTCAGAGGAGGATCACTAGACTAATTCCAGAGATGAGGGGTTTGTTTTGTAAGGACAGTTTGTGCAGTTCAGACCTATTTTCACCAGAGCTTAGAAGCTAGAGAGGAGATCTAATTGAGCTATATAAAACACTAAAGAGGATTCACAAAGTCGACATAGAGCTGATGTTTCTCCTCTAGGTCTATTTAGAATGAGAGATCATAGTTTTAGGATAAAGGGTGGCAGATTTAAAACAGAGATGAAGAGGAAATACTTCACTCAAAAGGTCTTGAATCTGAGGAATTCACTACCTCAGAGTGTGATGGACATTGGGACAGTAAGTACCTTTAAGGAGGAGATACACTGTGTTTTAATGATTAATGTGTTAAACAGTTATAGAGAATGGGCAGAAAAGTGGAGTTGAGGCCAAGATGAGCTCAGTCATGATCACATTAAATGGCAGACCAAGCTGAAGGGGCTGAATTGCCTAATCCTGCACTCAGTTCTTACGTCATCATATACTAGGTCACCCAGATCCCACTGACTTGCAGCTGTCTCTCTCCATTTAAATAAAATTCTTAATTAAATTGAGAGAATAATAATCTGATGACAGGCACTTTTGGATTCTAATAGGCCAACTCAGCTCCTAACTTGTCACAACCTTGGTCCATAGGCAGAAGAGTTGAACTCCAGAGGTGGGGTGAGAGTGTCTGCACTTGACACCAAAGCTGCATTTGATTTTCTATGGTATCAGGGAGGCCTAGCAAAATTGTAGGTTAATGGGAATTGGGGGAATATTCTCTTCTATAGTAGACAAACAGGAGGCTGGAAGAACACAGCAAGCCAGGCAGCATCTGGAGGAAAGAAGCAGTCAACATTTCGGGTATTACCCTTCTTCAACCTCTATAGTCCTGAAGAAGGGTAACACCTGAAACGTTGACTGCTCCTTTCCTCCAGATGCTGCCTAGCTTACTGTGCTCTTCCAGCCTCCTCTTTGTCTACCATGGATTCCGACATCTGCAGGCTTTTTTTGTCTCTAACTCTAGCCTTCTGGCTGGAGTCATGCCTGGCACAAAGGGAGATGGTTGTGATTATTGGAGGTCAATCACCTCAGTCAAAGGACATCTCTGCAGAAGTTACTCAGTGTGGTGTCCTAGATCCAACCATCTTCAGCAGCTTCACCACAGACCTTCCCTCCCTTATGATGTCAGAAGTGGGGATGTTTGCTGATAGCTGCACAATGTTCAGCACCATTCATGACTCCCAAGATGTAGGAAAAACCCATATGCTGCAAGACCCGGGTAATTTTTTTTCCAGTAAGTAACATTTGCAACACACAAGCATCAGGCAATGACCATCTCAATCAAAAGAGAATCTAACCATCACCTCTGTCATTCAATGTCACTACCATTGCTGAATTCCCAACTATCAACATTGCGGAGGTTACCATTGACCAGAAGCTGATATGGACTAGCCATATAAATGGCTACAAGAGCATGTCAAAGGCTAGGAATCCTGTGACAAGTAACTCATTCCCAACTTTGTTCCCTAAACCTGTCCACCATCTACAAGGCACATTTCAGGAAGGTGATGGAATATTCTCCACTTGTCTGGATGGGTGTAGCTTCAGTAACACTCAAAAAGCTTTACACCATCCAGAATAAAGTAATCTGCTTGATTGGCACCTCATCCAATATCTTCAAAATTCACTTCCTTCACCATCGATCTGCAAGATCCCCTCCAAGCCACTCACCATCCTGACTTAGTATTATATCACTGTTACTTCACTGGTGTTGGGTCAAATCCTGGAACTTTTTCCCAAACAGTGCTGTGGGTCTCCCTACACCCCAGGGCTGTAGCAGTTCAAGAGGTTGTCAGTAGAAACTGTTCCAACTAATTAGGAATGGACAAAGAATGGTGATCCAGCCAACAAATCCTCATTCCATAAATGAATAACTTAAAAACAAATCTGCTTCCTATTCTTCCTGCCAAAATGGACAACCTCCATTTTCTGACATTATACTTCATTTGTCAAATTTCTGCCTCCTCCCTTAACCTGTCAAGTTACATTTTATCCTCGCTGGATCCTTTCCCTTTTTGAGATGGATTTCACACAGGTCTGATAAGGTATCTTTTGATCAGATTTGAACAGAGCAACCAGTGCTGAAAGGCTCTGTCATTAATCTAAAATATTACACTCTTCATATGCAAACACAAAATGGTAAATGTACAGTTTATGAAATGTGTTTACATACTATCCATATCTATGTATGGCGTTGGCATTTCACTCCATTGAATTTTATGAAGAACAGATACTTATCTTTTTCTTCTGTTGGTTGAAATTGTCAATAATTACACCGATAAAGAGATTGAGAGTGAAGAATGCCCCAAAAATGATGAAGATGACAAAGTATATGTACATATACAGATTAATTTCATACGATGGCTGCTGTTCCATCTAGGGAGGAAAATAAACATTGGTTAGCATTCCACAGAAACAACACCGCTTTTCTGAGTTTGTGGAATTAGAGACTTATTATCACACAATTTCACATCTTTTGGACTCGACAGTGGGAACAGACAGGGGAATGGATAGGAGTACACCTCAGAAATCATTTCCAATACTTGGCATCTAATCCAAGCTGGGTTTGAGGGAAATAATGACTCTCTCTCTCTCTTCCTAAGTGGTCAGTCTTCCCATCCTCAAACCTAACTAATGAGTTATTTAATCATGCATTGACTCACAACTCTGAGAAGGAACTTGCTGTATGCTAAATGATTGTTTGCTTACATAGCACCAATGACCACACTACAAGGCAATTTGTAATGTGGGAAATGCAAAAGGAGCAAGATACTAATTCTGTCTTAGTTAAAGACTATAGAAATATGCAATATCTAAAGAAGTTTAATCATCAAATAAATAAGCATATGTTAAGAATTTAATTATATTTCAGCTAGATAGCCAGCTGGCGATATCTTCTACTATGGAGAAGCTAGTCTTCCTTCAACATCTCATAGATTTAATTCCTGTCATCTCAGCAGTACACTAATATTAGTCTCAGGAACCAAGAGGTTCTACAGACAAGATAATAGGCTGTCGTTGTCAATGGGACTAGGATGAAGCAATCTAGGCTGGATTTTCTCACAGCCTTCAAAATCTCAATGTCAGGATCAAATGGGGATCCAGAACCCATGCCTGTTGGCAGCGAAACTAACTCAGCAATTCCCAAAAATGGCCTCCAAATTGTCCACCTCTCCAACTGGCATCTCCTTGAGGGCAAGTCAGAAGGTCAATGGGTCAGAAGCCTCAGCAGCTCTTCAGGTGATGGATATGAAGTAAAGATTATGAGAGCCCCTTGGAATGAAGGGAACACTTCTCCAATGAATCATTTGGACTGTGAGTGTTGATTTTTTGCCATGATTCCCTCTTCGGGTCACAGAGCCTCCAGCTCTGATATCCTCTGGTGTGCTGCTAGAGGGTACCTTATTGAGCTAGCGGTCTCCACATATGGCATCACCATCACTTTGTTGATGGCAAAATGTCTGCGACAGCACAAAATTATCTCCAATTGGGCCTTAACCATTGTAATTGGCAGCTCACGCCCCACCCTAGGAAAGTTTGAAGACAGTGGCAGCCATATGTTCCCAATCATTCATCTCCAGATCCATTACCAGCACCTGGCAATATTCAGTCTGCACTGCTTAGTCACGCTGCTCCAACCATCATGAGGTATGGGAGAGGCTTGGTGGATGAGCTGGGCTTTTTCTACCTTTCATTTCCTATGTTCTGGCATTCATGCTTTGCTGTGAACAGTTTCAGTGTTTGCCTTGCGCTTCCTTCACAAACCTGGTGCAACGAGCTATACTCTTTTCTGCTTCAGCCAACTTATTCACTGAATGCATATTCACCTCATTTCAAGTATAGATTTGTAGAACTTAATAGACTTTAGTGAGATTTTGCAGCAGAATAATATCCTAGAAGGAAAAATCAGTAAAGCTGATGAATGAGAGATACAAATCTGGCTCATCTTGTATCCTTCAAAATGCAGGACCACTACACCAGTTCAGTTCCAAGTATTAATGTTATTTATAATTGTTTTGTTCCCTCTAATAATAAGAAGTCAACCAAATGTATAAATAAGTGCAAGCAGTTTGGAGGTGTATTCAAACTTGGGGCAATTCACAGAGACATCATGGCGTCTGCTGCCAATAATGACCCAAACAGTTCTGACTTTACACTAACATCGACAGACAAGCTGAGGTGCATGGCAGTGGCTAATTCGCTTTCTTTAGCTTTATTCTCACCAGAGTTGAATTTTATTGATAGGTAAAGTGAAGTCAATGACATTTTCAGTTAGAAAGTGAGTGAAGAAAGAAAAAGAGCGAAACAAGATGATCAAATATAATTCCAACATACATACAAATGCGAAAAGGATGATGGTCCAGGCAAACAGCACCCTCTTTTTATACACTGTAGGAATCGGTGCCCCTTTTACTACTTTGTTTCTTGCCCCCTCCCCTGTCCTGATGAGAGCAAGAGTAAAAATTTTGTCTTCTTGTCTCATTTAGGGAAGGGAATCAGCCACCTTTATCTGACCTGGTCTACATGTGACTCCAGGCACACAACAATTTGGTTGACTCTTAACTGGCCTCTGAAATAGCCTAGCAAGCCATTCAGTTCAAGTACAATAAAGCATAAGCATGAATGCCCTCTGTACCAAGGGCGCTCACATTCTATGAACAAATAAGGAGAAATGCATTATTTCCTATTCATTGAGTTAAAGATCAGTTTAAACTTGACTCCTTCATGTGATTTTTCTGTTAGGCATATGTCTTCCTGGGATGTTCAGTTTTCTTGGGCACTTGCGCAGCCTGGACCCTGCCTGGGTTATGGTGTCCCTTCCAGTGGTGAGCAATGGTGAGCAAATCATCATTGCAGATGATAAGCAACAGATGGTGAGGAGTGATGTAGGTCTTCTCATTGTTTTAGGGCAAATTTCCCACCAGCTCCAGCATCTTGGCTGCCAGGTAACCTGGAACAGCAGCCAGCTACAGGAGATCTCCAGCTCAGACACACTTGACATAGTGACCCTTGCACAGCAGCCAATGTATATGACCAAAGGGAAACTGGAGCTCAGCTCTGGACGAGTATCTTGGCTTTAGTGCAAGCTTCTTTTCTGGTCTAATGACAAGCAGATATCTTGCTGCTATTGCTATTCAGATCCTTCATTAATTTTGATGTGCAATTGTTCAATTAGGCCCTTTCAGCATTGATAACTCACACTAAGTTCCAGGACAGAAACTGAATAATGAATTCTGGTACTGTGCCAGATAACAGGGATGAAGTCTCAGTGATTTTCAATTCTTGAATCTTAACGGTAATTGACCGATTTAGTCTTCCCATAAGCATCTTCTAGGTATCACTGATAGAAGTTGCACAATATGACAAGGGAGGGAAAGGGAAGAGGGAAAGAATCTGCATGTATAAAATGCCACAACCCAGGACTGTCTGGCATTTTAAAATTTTTAGTTGCCCTTGAGAAGGTGGTGGTGAGCTGCCTTCTTAAACTACTGCAGTCCACCTGCTGCAAGTTGACCCATAATGCCAATAGGGAGGGAATTCCAGGATTTTAACTCAGCGACAGTGAAGGAGCAGCAATATATTTCCAAGTCAGGATGGTGAGTGGCTTGGAGGGGAACTTGAAGGTGGTGGTGTTCCCAAATGTCTGCTACCCTTGTACTTCTAGATGGAAGTGGTCGTCGGTTTGGAAGGCACTGTCTCAGGATCTCTGGTGAATTTTACAGCCAGTTGGGTACTTATAAAACACAGTCACCGTTGAAATGTAGGAAATACAATTAAAGCCTATAATTCCAACATTTCCATTGAAACCTTTCAGTGATTGGAACTGGGTTAATTCCTGCTTACTGCAGGCTTTTAGTTCAACTCAGGAATAATTTCCAGCAGTTGCTAATGAGTATACATATTGTTTTCTTGGGACGTAGGTGTCGCTGACCTATCCCTAATTGCCCTTGCTCTGAGTGGCTTGCTAGACCATTTCAGAGGACAGGTCAGAGTCAGTCACTGCTGTGGGTCTGGAGCCTCATGCAGGCCAAGCCGGGTAAGGGAGAGGCATTTCCGTCCATCAAGTCTGAGTGAAGCAGATAAGATTTTATAATGGTCAATGATAGTTGTCCTGTTGAGATTAGATGTGGTTTCCAGATTTAAGAATTGTATTTGAATTCCACCAGCAGCTACGGTGGGATTTGAAACCCCATTCCCTGTCATTTAATGTAAAATAGCCAAGGGTGGGTGCCACCGCGGGACTAATGGGTTAATGAACTCCTTTCGGCTGGAAAGCAGCCTGGTATCATTTGTAAACTGGCTCATGGAATAATATGAGCCAGGAAAGTTATTCTCTCATTAAATCTTGACTGTAACAAACCTTCATGATATCATTGGCATCTGAAGAAGCCATGTAATGGGCACTTTACGCGATAAAAAGCTTTTATGTTTTACTAGTATTTAAATATTTTATAAGCCACATAAAATCTATTAAGCATGATGGAGGGTTTAAGTGGTAGGGTAAATCACAAGAGATGTTTATAGCCATATTCATTGCATTCATGTTACTGTTTCAGATTCAAATTACTGCCAGCAGCATCAGTAGTAGGGCACCATGTACTGGTGGCACTGGGCCAAAGCAAAGGCTAGCAGGCCTTATATACTGAGATATCAACGGAAGCAGTTATGTTTTCTTGGCGGTTAGGGTGGTGTATTAGTCACCAAAACATGAGCACCCACATTTTAAAAGTAAGGAAAATCATCCCCAGTATCTTCTTCTGCCCTTTGCAATAGTATGGAGGGAAATCCTTTCAAAATTGAACTAAGCAAATTAGTCTTCACAGTGACACACAGGGAATAATTCCTTTCATTTGAAGCCTGCTCCTTACAATGCCCTCTGATCTTTCCAATGACCCTTTGGGTCAATTTCAACTTTTGAATTTCACTTCACTATTTGATATAATTGTTCCACTGGTGCAGCTAAGTCAAACTAAAAGATCTGTGAAACCTCAGCAATATTGAAGAAAGTCACAAGAAGATCTTGGGAGCAGAGTTTAGATTTCTAATGGAAAATGCAGCTCCTAATCAAATTTAAAGTGGAAGCAGGAGAAGTCTGAAAAGTGGAGAATACATTGAACAACAAAATAAGTAAAAACATACTATTATAACATATTCAATAATTCACAATTTAAACCAAAAATTTAAAAAAATGGAGATTTGTGCAGAACTCAGACTGAGATTTTACATATAGATTTTGATGTTAACCTTTGACAAGAAATGCACCAAAATTCTGGACCTTGTTGATCTAACTCTAGTAGGAGTCTATCAGGAGATCAGTATATTTTGGTGATGCAGGTTACACCAAAAAGTGGACTTGTTTGGGGATTGCACTTGAG